TTCTCAGGGACCGTAGGCTCACAGTACATTAGCGGACTTCATTCTCTGCATACAAAGGACTTTTCTGGAAACTAGGCAGGTGTGGTGTGGGAGAATTATCTGTATTCTGTCAATCATATTTTAATAAAACGCTGATTGGCCAGGCAGGCAGTATAGGCAGGAAAGCCAGACAGGAAGTAGGGGTGGAGCAAAGAGACTGGGAATATTCTGGAAGCAGAACCTCCCTTGCCACTCCTGCTCAGACCACTGAAGAGGCAGCATGTAACTTGCCAAGCTGAGAAAGGTACGGAGCCATTATGGCTAACATAGATGAGAATAATGGGTTAATATAAGTTATAAGAGTTAACAAGAAGCCTGACCTAATGGGCCAATCAGTTTATAACCTTATGGAGTCCTGTATGTAGTTTCTCTTTGGGATTTGCCGGCTGTTGGGGTACCGGGCGGGACAGATACCCCCAACAAGGCGGCCCCTCATGTTACACAGGTGTGTATGTTTAACATGTTATTCATCTCCAAACATACCAAGAGCTAAGGAGCAGCCGTTATCACTCAACATGAGCCTTCACAGGAAGGTTCCATCCACTTCTCAAAGACTAAAGCAAAGGCTGGGGCCAGACTGGAGGTGGAACAGAACGCCCAGGGGTGCCTGGGTGGCTAAGCACTGGCCTTGGAGACAGCATAAGGAGAGAAGGGGCCTGGGCCAGGCCTCCACATAGCTGATCCTCTCAGGTCCTTCCTGGTGAGAGCTCAGGGTTCTGAGAGAGCATCTGGTCCCCATTTTCCACCTTTTGTCGTCTGAATAATGAAGAGCTTCAAAAAAACAAAAACAACCAAACAAAACAAAACAAAACAAAACTACTGTGGCTCCAGGTTTCCGTGACGCAGAGACAGTTTGTTCACGCCGAGGACAAGACACCTGCCACACAGGATGAAAACCTGGGTTTGGATCCCCCGAGCCCACATGAAAGCCAGGACAGAGCCCCTGCCTGTCACCCCAGCACTCTGTTGGTGAGACAGGAGGCTGAGGCAGGGGAATCGCCAGAAGCTTACTGGGCCAGCTGGCCCAGCCTTCACAGTGGCAAACAGCAAGGTGGGAAGTGGGCCCAACGCCAGAGACTGTTGCCCAACCTCCATGCATGCATTTGCACACCCATGAAAGCGCAGGTTTAAATACACAAAGACTTTTTAAAGAGTGAAGCAAAGCAAATGGTCTGTTCAATAAAAGTGAAGAAAACAAACCCGTGCGGACAACGGAATCTTCCAGGCAAGGTACAGAGACAGGCAGAAGCTATGGGAGGAAGGGGACTCCAAATGCCCAGCAAAGCCCAGTCACGGGGAAGAGCTCATGAAGTTGAGAAGAGCTGCCTGTGTGCACTTGGCTATTTGCGGGTAACTGAGACGTGTAAGAGAAGAAACTGGTTTCAGCTCACGGTTCAGTGCCCAGGTAGACAAGTACTCCCACTGCCTGCCAGTCCTGGGTTTACGTATCTGCAAATGTCTGTGGGGAGGGGGGCTGTGTTTCATTCTTTACTAAAAGCGTTCATCTAGATCCTTGCTCTCTGGGGTCTCACCTCTTAAGTGTTTGGGATGCTGGGGGTTTTACAATAAAACGCGCAGGAAGACATCACAAGTCTAAGTGATCTCCTGACATTCATCCAGAAGTCAGAGCAGTGGACCCCAAGACTGATAGCACACTTCACCCGTGAAGGGTAAGGCTTAGCCTTGTTTCATGGTATGTGGAGGAGTTATTAAATGCCTACATAAAGTTTTATTACTGTTTTAATCCCATTAATAACCATCTTCACTTTAATGCCGTGCTTGCTGAATCCTGCAGCAATGAGCTGTGGTAACTGCCGCCCGCGTGAGAATTGTTTTCCCTCTAAGGATATAAAAGAGGCGGCACCAGAGAGCTCTGCAGCGCTGACTCCATCAGAGGAGAGAGACAGATGCTGCTGGCCGCTTTTTTTGTGAGTCTAACCTGCTTGCTTCCACATTTTCCATCTTAGTTCCCCCGAACATGGCAGCCTCGACAGAAGGGAATAAAAGGGAATGTGCCTGCACATCAGAAAAGCTCTTACACACAAACGATTTACATCTTAATAGCCCGCTTCCCTCCCATTAACTTCTCCCCTGCTCTTCAGTAAACAAGTGCAAGCCGAAGTCTGCACCTCACAGCTCCAGAGCTCTGAAGCCAAAGGCCAGCCTTTCCGCTAGTCAGAGGGCAGTGCGTCCCCAGGCCCAGAGCTGACCTCCATGTCCTCCCGCCTCCAGCCTGTTGAACATGAAGTAGCTGCCTGGGGACTTCCAGTAGAAGTTGGGACCTCACTTCTGCGACATTGCTCTTGTGACAGGAACTCCCAGGGGATCTGAGATGTCCAGGAAAGCCCCATGCAGACTGATTGCCATCCTACCCGAGAAGCTGTGAGCTTTAGTGTTCACAGGGGTGTGGGAGGCTGAAACTGATGTTCTGCATACACCAAAGGAAAAATTCAAACAACAACAACAACAACAAAGGAAAAAAAAACACAACCACAAGACACAACAGGGCCCAGCCTTCTGGAGCCACTCAAGCCTGACCCCACATCCTACCCCATAGCACAGGCAGATGTGAGCCTGCAGACGCCCCTGTGCGCACAGGCAGACGTGAGCCTGTCCCCCCGTATGCACAGGCAGATGTGAGCCTGTACCCGCTGTGTGCACAAGCAGATGTGAGCCTGTACCCGCTGTGCACACAAGCAGATGTGAGCCTGTCCCCCTGTGTGCACAGGCAGATGTGAGCCTGCCCCCCTGTGCTCCGCCAGTCACCTGCCCACTGCCTCTCTCAGGACAGGAGCCGCAGGGAAGATCACTGATGCCCACGCCCACAAGAATGCAGGGGGGGGGTGGGGAAGAGAGAGTCAGGGTCGGTAAATGTTCTCAAAATGAGACACATGACACATGGAACAAACATTTGAACAATGTGAAGCTACACACATGTTCACGTGGATGAGATGCAGGATGACCCAGGTGAAGGCGCAGCCATCAGCCCGACAACCTGGTTCAATCCCCAGCACCTCCGTGGCAGGAGGAAGGAACCAATCAGCTCCTGCAGGTTGCCCTCTGACCTCCACGCGAATGAACCAACACATACACAGGGATAAGGTAGAAAGGAAACATTACAATGAAACCAATTATTCTACACACTAAAAAAGAAAAAAAATCCCAATCAGTAAAAAATAAAAGTAACAGGCAGACATTTCACCCTTTGCTTTCAGTCCCAGAAGGGACTCTTCTGCTTCCCTCCGCTGGTCTGAGCGGCACCAGCAGCAGGCTTTTCAGAGAGGCCTTGCAATGATATGCGGCCACACAAGGAGCACACAGATCGAAGGGACCTTTAAATTTGGTCTTGGTGGTCCTGGCACTGTTCACAAACTGCCCATGCTTTTCTCTGCATGCATGAGCTGCTGCCAGGACCCGGTTGCCCAGCCAGCTCAACACTGACCACTGCCTCCCCCCTGGCCAGTGAGACCAGAGCTACGTGGGTCGCTTCCCCATGGTTACTTTTCCCAGTTGTGGTAAAACATCCAGAAATCAGAACCTGAGATCTCAGCAGAATTTAAATGCATACTTCAGAGGCATCAGGTACACAGAGGAGGTCCTAACCACCACACCCACTTCTAGAACTGTCTCCCTGGCCTCTGCAGATCCCCACGCAATCTCAGTTTGTCTCCTGAGATTTGGGAATGCAGGCCTGAGCCACCACACGGACTCTGACAGAAATGCTCTGAAGGTTCAGCTGTAGAGCTACTGTCCTCCCTTTAATGACCAGTACTTCACGGTGTGTATGATGTTTGTGTCTTTGGTCTCTTTGTATCTGGAAAGACAAGAATGTCCTCCCCTTGTGGTTCCGTGGACAACATTGGAACAGACTTTATTATCATTATTATTCATCATCTCTCAGTTCTCCCCCCCACCCCCGCCCGTGTGCCCCCACTACTGCTGGGGATAGAACTGTTGACAGAGGTTTCTGTCCCGCCTGGTCCCTCAGCCGTTCAGTCCCAAAGAAACACACAGAGGCCTACATTAATTATAAATGGGTTGACCTATTAGCTCAGGCTTCTTATTAATTCTTACATCTTAAATTAGCCCATTATTCTTGTTTATGTTAGTCACATGGCTTGGCACCTCTTATCAGCGAGGCAGTCTCATCTTGTTTCCTGTGTGTCTGGGTGATGACTGCAGACTGACTCTCCTCTTCCCAGAATTCTCTTGTCTGGTCACCCCACCTCTACTTCCTGCCTGGTCAGGTGGCCTACATTTCTTGCCTAGCTACTGGCCAATCAGCATTTTATTAAAACAATACAAGTGACAGGGTACAAGATCATTGTCCCACAGCATAGAACCAGGTTTGTTTCTTTTTTAACTTTCTTTTTATTCTTTTTGTCTTTCACATCACACATCTCGACCCCATTCATTTCCCATTCCTGCATATCCACCCTCGGCCCTTGCAACCCCTGCCCCATTGTAACACGAGGGGCCGGCTTGTTGGGGTTTCTGTCTCGCCCAGTACCCCACAACCGGCAAACCCCAAAGAAAATAACACAGAGTCTACATTAGGTTATAAACTGATTGGCCCATTAGGTCAGGCTACTTATTAGCTCTTATAACTTATCTTAACCCATTATTCTAATCGATGTTAGCCTTACATGGCTCCGTACCTTTCTCAGCTGGGCAAGTTACATGCTGCCTCTTCGGTGATCTGCGCAGGAGTGCCAGAGGAACCTCCCTGCTTCCCAGAATTCTCCTGTTCTCATTGCATCACCTCTACTTCCTGTCTGGTTTTCCCGCCTATACTGCCTGCCTGGCCAATCAGCGTATTATTAAAATATGATTGACAGAATACAGACAACTCTCCTGCATCACCCCATAAAACAAAATAAAATTTAAGAGAATAAAAAAAGAAAATCTCATCATGGAAGCCATGTGACACAGTGAGTCACACAGTAAACCCTTTCATCCATATATCTTTACTTGCAAGTGTTCATGCAAAGAGTCACTGGTCTGGTTTGAGGCCTCTGCTTTCTGTTACACTGTCAATGTTGGGCCCTTACGGAGACTCTGTGTCGTGGAGATCCTGCAGCTTTGGGCCTACAGGATGGCTCCTTCACGTGCTTCAGCAGAAGAACCAGGTTCTTGTGTAAGCACAGCAAAAATTCTACCAGCAAACTCCACGCTCAGCCTTTGGCTTTCTGAGGCCGTTTGGGACCCTCCTCTGGAGTCTCCAGAGTGCTGGAATTACAAGCTTATACCACTGCACCCCAACTTGCTTTCAGACCTTTGCTTTTACTACTGGACTAGAACTGCCAAATCTGTGTCTGATGTTAAGAGGAGCCACACACGGGGCCTGAGGCATCTTCTGTCCTGCTGTCAAGCCCAAGGCTTCCCTCTCCCCGCATCCTCACCACCTGTTATTAATTCCCGACAGTCACATTTGCCACTGCAGTATGTGAGGGGTGTGGATGCTGGGCTGCTACTCATGAGGCTTTGTTACTTGTGCATCCTCTTTGGAGGAAATATCTATTCAAATCTACTTATTTGTGAATTAGGCTGTACGTTTCCCCATCATTGAGTTGAGGATGTTCTTTATATATTATGGATATTAGTTTCTCTTCAAACACTTGGTTTGCAGACATTTATTCCTCTGCTGAAATAGAATGATACCTTCTTTCCTCTTCCACTGACAAGTGCAAGGGAGTCTAAGACCCTGGAAAATGATGGACCATAAAGCACAGCAGCAGATACAGTGAAGCAGAAAGTCACCCCCGGAGCAGGAGTGCTAACTAAATTACCATTAAATGAACGAACACGACCGCAGCATCTGTCGGGCTAGTCCACCGGAAGTGCGGCTCATCTTCTCCACAAGCTGTGATGAAGACAGAGTCCTCTGTGCAGAAATTCAGTCCAGTAGTGAGAAAGGAGTCCGTGGTTCTGCATCCTGGGCCTCACCTCTATCAGTGCCTTTACACGTAGTCCCAGATCTGCCTGATGAAGCCTTTCCTCTTAAATTATCACCTCCTAATGGAACTATCCTTATGTTCAGAATCCTGCAGTCACTCGCTTTGAAATGAGTCATTTTCCACTTATCAACAACAGGGCTCCATGCACTGGCTGCTCCCTGAGGGCTGGTGAAGGCTCACCCAACTAGGACTGGAGATGACACTGTCTCCCGAGTCACTCAGCTGCGGCTTCCCTTCCCGCCTCCTCGTGATCTTCACGTGGTCAGATGTCAAACTTACAGGCTCACTGGCTTTTACTACTTACCTTTAAATAGTTATGCTAATTTCAGTGATTATGCATAAAAATTTACATATATTATCATTTAACTTTCAAAACAAACCCTGGGAAGTGGCGCCTTTATCTCTAGAGGATGAGACTCTGGAGCATCTCATGGATAAAGCTACAGATATCAGATTCAAACCAACTTCACCTGCCAGACCATGCTGTCTTCTCGCATGTGCATGTGAGCATCTCACATGTTTCCTCAACTCGTGGATACATGCCATCTCTGAGGGAAGACAGCTTCAAATGATGGGCCTTTCGGTAGCTCCTGGGAACCCACCAAAGGCACACCTGCTTGGGATCTCCCACCCCGTGATCCCATTCTGTTAAGGATTTCCCTTGCCAATTCTCATGTTTCAGAATCTATTACAGGCCAGGTACCATGGGACATCCCTTTGATCTCAGCACTCAGGAGGCAAAGGCAAATGGATCTCTCTGAGTTCAAGGCCAGTCTCATCTACATAGTGAGTTCACTGAGTTCCAGGACAGCCAGAGCTGTACAGCGAGACCTTGTCTCAAATTTTAAAAAAAGAATGGAAGAGGAAAGAGGAAGCTTGTTAAATGTCCTTTACTGAAAAACTTTTGGGTGGCTGGCAAAATAGCTTTGCTATTTAGATCACTGGGGACCCAAAGAACCTGGCTGAACCCTGAGGAAGTGGGCTTTGGTAGGAAGCCACTCAAATGTCATCAAGTAATAAAGAAGAGAGCACAGTTTGTTGATTGACAGGTTGCTGTTGCCACTTCAAAATAAACAGACAGAATGAAAGAGGGAGATGCGACCACTGTCCCCAAACACGGATGGGCAGGTAACCTTCCAGCCAGCCGGGTAATAAAACTGATAAAACTTGGAGAGAAGGGTCAATTAGAGGAACATGGCAGATGTTATCAACCATGATGGTCTTCAAGCTTCAAAATGCACGACATCTTACACATAGTAGGTGCTCGACAACTGTACCCAGTAGGGAGGAGGTGCGTCACAGCTGAGGAGGGTAGCGCGGGGGGGGGGGGGGGGCATGCACACCTGCACACACCAAGTGGGCGGACTGCACAGAATATGAGAACATCTCACCAGTGTTAGAGGTGAGGTATTGGCTGGGAGATAAAGGGTTACCATTATCCAAACGCTACCTCTCTTCTCCAACTGTCTCCTTCCTTCTTTCAAAACTCATTCCATTGAACAGGTTTTCATAGCGATGCCTGGGACAGACCCTGGAAACAAGCCAATGGCCAAACAAGCACCTCAGAGCAGAGCAGAGGTGAACAGCAGGTGCCACAAGTCCCCAGATGGCTCTTCCTGCCATCTAGTCTCCCTTGAACTGCAGAGTACCCAGGGACTGAGTACGAAATGGAGACCAAGTGGGAAGTCCTTCAGCCTGGGAGGAGGAAGGGCTGAGACCACAACAAAGAGTCCCTGAAAATAACAGGTGAGAGGCAGGGACACAGGTAGGGATGGGTTTGGGGGTGGCAGGAGCCACAGTTGATCTTGTCCACTCTGCCTGTGGGCACTGCCTCGCATGCAGTGCCTGGCACATGCACCACGCCCACGGCTCTTCAGCCTGTTTCCATGCCAACAGGGTTCCAGAAAGGCTGGTCCAGGAAATGTCAGGCTCCCTCTCAGAGGGAGGTATGAATGCTCCTTGGGGAGCCTGGTCAGTTTATGGAAAAGTGATTGTTTCTATTGGGTTCTCTATGTGCCGGCCCTTTGCAGTGGTTCACGCCCATCAAACGGCTTAACCCTCCAGGTGGTGGGTTTGTTGTCACTGTGTCCATTGCAGAGGTGAGAAAACAGAGGCGCAGACACTAAGTAGACAGTGATGGTAGCAGGGCTGAGATGTGAATGCGAGCAGTCTTCACACCAGCCCTTGCTGCTCGGCCAGTTCACTGCCAGAGAGCCTGGACACAGTATCTGTGCTTGCACGCAGCTGTGGAGACACTCTGCTCTCTCAGAGTGTGCTGCTTCTGCACAGGTCTAAGGAGAACTGTCCCAGTCTGGATGATTAAATGTTTAATGCATCTGCATAGTGAAGACTTCTAGAAACTTCCAGAGAACACATTTTAGAACACTAAAGGATTTTCTCAGATTTCACTAACCACCAAAGAACAACCTTACCTGCCCTTGGAGACCAGTTGGAAAACAACTACAGCTGTCTACTATAGCGCCGCCACCAGGTTAAACACGTGCATAACAGTTACTCGCTACAGTAGGGCCTGGAGATGGCTCAGTGGCTAGAGCCATGTTTTGCTCTTTCGGGGAACCTGAGTTCAGCTCCCAGTACCCACACTAGGCAGTTCACAATCACCTTTAACTTCAGCTCCAGGGGAGTCGGTGCCTCTGACATACAAAGGCACCTGTACTTATGTGTACATACCAACAGACAGACAGATGAACATGCACGTAATTAAAAATAAAACAATTTTTTAAAATTAGACTAAACCAGGTCTGGTGGCCAGTCTGAAATCCCAGAACTAAAGAGACTGAGGCAGGAGGATTGCTGCAGGCTAGAGGCCAGCCAAAGCCACCTGGCAAAGGCTGTTTGTGTCCCCCAACCCCCAAGTGAGCTTATTATGTCTCCTGATAACAGGTCTGCTAGCCTGGGACTCACTATGCAGCTGATTCTCCCGCCTTCACCTCCTAAGTGCTGGGGTGACAGGCACATGCCACACACACAGCTTTGGATGCTATCCTAAAGGAGGATAAGAAGGTTGTCACGTGTGTGGTTTCTTTATTCTTACAAACACAAACACTCTTGCAGTGATTTTCTGGTCTCTTGAGTAAACACTGATTTAGAAAGATTAATATAAACCTGACCAAAAATAAAACATCAGTGTTTTGATTTCTAGTACTCCATGAACCATCGAAGACAAAGGATTTCTCTGGACGACTCTTCGGAGGTACTCTGCTTTGGTGCACTGCGCCGTGTCGTGTAGACCCATTGCCCTCACAGCTCTGCTGGGAAAGCAAGGTGGCATTCAGCTCCATTATAGAAATGTCACGGCACAGGGAGGAGCAAAGCCAGCTCCAAAATGTTAATATGCTGATATTTCTCAAATATAAGCAAACAGTCCTACTTTGTTTTTATAATAATCCTCCCCCGAAATGTTTCATTTAAAAATGAAAATGTTTAAAGAAAAAAAAAACACAGCAAAACCACTGAGTTACACATTAGCATTCAAATCCAGCAGCAGCTGCACACCTGGAATCCCAGGCCATGGGTGGGGAGGTGGAGGTGTCAGGAGCTCAAGTTCATTCTTAGCTATCAGAGTACTTCCGGTGACAGCACTGCTGGGGCATTGGGGTCAGATGGTCCCCAAACCCCCAGGCCCTGGTCCCATGACACTGACAGACACACATCCTGCCCCCATAGAGCATCTGGACCATGTGACACTGACACCCGCCACCCCACTCCCTGCTCCTGCAGAGCACTTGGACCCCAGGACGCTGATGTCCGCCCACCCCCTGCAGACAGAGCATCTGGACCCCAGGACACTGATGTCTGCCCATCCCCTGCAGACAGAGCATCTGGACCCCAGGACACTGACATCCGCCCACCCCCTGCAGACAGAGCATCTGGACCCCAGGACACTGACACCCGCCCACCCCCTGCAGAGTATCTGGACCACAGGACACTGATGCCCCCCACCCCCTGCCCCTGCAGAGCATCTGGACTTCTGGTCTTCCTTCTGGGTCACCTTCACCACCTGCAGACTGGGCAGCAAGAAGACTCAAAGCCCAGGCCAGAGGCCACAACCCACCCATTCTGATTTAAGAGCATTTCCTCATGGGGCTTAAAGCTGATCCTCTCTGTCCTCTGTAGGTTCCTCTGCCTGGAACATTATCTGAAGCTGCCTCACTCTGGAAATGACCCACGCTGAACAGATGAAGCTGCTCCTACAGACAGGGTAAGGTACTGCCATGGTAAGAGACTGATGTAGCTATTTCCCACGCCACACGACCTTGGCTGATATTTCTCACTGGAGTGTGATGCATATTTTTCTTAGGATAGGAAAGGATACTAGAAACACTTGAGCACAGAAGCAGAGATGTATCACCTGGAAGTGAAATCTCGCCACTGTGACCGATAATCTGAGTCAACATCTAAGACTTACCTGTAAGGCCAACTCTGACAGCTGCCTCTGAGGACCGGCCCAATAGCTGTACATGGTTAGAGCACTGACTGCTCTTCCAGAGGGCCCAGGTTCAAGTCCCAACTTACCCTGCTTATAAAGCAGCTGCATGTTTGAGCCTTTGTATGCAACCAGATTGTTGAGCAATGCTATCACACTCTGTATGGTATTACCCAGAATGCTCTCCTGATGCTCCTGCAATAGACCAGACAGAAATACCATTATAGCCTCCTCAAGACAACCACCTCTCTCTGTCATTCTCCAAACAAGGCTGAAAGATTCCCTGTCTGTTCTGCCACGTAGCAGGTCCAGAGGGAAGGCCCTTTCCCCCAATCCCAGGAGGCACTGGGACCTGTGGTCAGCCTCTGTGCTTTAGGTGGGTAGCACTTGAGAGACCAGACATCAAGTGTATGGAGCTTAAGGACACATGTGTGACAGCAAGCTTGAGACCATGACATGAAAACATCCCATGAGATGAGTGTTCCTGTCACTTTCCACTCAAACCATGTAATGTGTGCAGCCATGTAGGATGTGATGGCCCTATCCCTGCTAGAGTCCAATGTGCTGCTAGAGTCCAATGTGCTGTGTGGAGTTCTTGGGGGGACTGATTTCCTCACATGGGAGGATAGCCCAGGGCCTGGAGTGTCTGGAGATAAGGCCATCTTTTCTTATTTTATTTATCTGTTTGGTTGGTTGGTTGGTTTTGGTTTTTCAAGATAGGCTTCTCTGTAGGTTCCTTTGCCTGGCACTTTATCTGAAGCTGCCTCAGCCTGTAGACCAGGCTGGACTTGAACTCACAGAGATCTGCCATTCCTTCCTTAAAAACTAAAACCATCGATTGTTACAAGGAACTGCTTATTCGTCCCAGCAGCCCAGAACCAAAATAATCACACAGAAACTGTATTAATTAAATCACTGCTTGGCCCATTAGCTCCTAGCTTTTTATTGGTTAACTTGTACATCTTAATTTAACCCATTTTTATTAATCTGTGTCTCACCTAGGTCATAGCTTACCGGCAAAGTTTCAGTATGTCTATCTCTGGTGGCAGATACATGGCGTCCCCTGATTCCGCCCTCTTCCTCCCAGAATTCCATTTAGTTTTCCCCACCTAGCTCTGTTCCCCTATAGCTCTGCTATAGGCCCAAAGCAGTTCCTTTATTCATTAACCAATCAAAGCAACACATAGACAGAAGGGCCTCCCACAACAATCAACTATAGTTAAAGTTATTACATCTCACATAACTCAGTGGAAAAGACAATTGTTAAGTCCAGGACTGATGTGAAGTGGGGGATGAACACACTAAGATTGGAATCACGCACACTCACTGAGCACAGATGCTTCTAGAATCCTTGTTTCCTTACTACAGCTTCAGCTCTAGGCACATGCTAGAAGCAGCAGGCATGCCGGAGGAGGAGGCACCAGGCAGGGCTGCCCCCGCCCCTGCCCCCACCCCACCTCCACCCCCACATCCCTTCCCACGGCCCCCATCCACATGTCCCTTCCCCCCTCTCTTTTTAAGCATGAATCATATTTTAGGAGTTACTGACAGTCTGTTTTGTGACAGGCAGTGCTCTGGGAACCAGGGAGAGACAGGGCCCCTCATCCTCACAGACACGGACCTGGGACAGCAGCATGGTCAGTAAATCATGGCAGGTGTCAGGAAGAAAAGGGACACCGAGGAAAGTGCCAGGAGGGCAGCCCTGGGGCTGCGCCTGCTTTAAACAGGGTGGCAGCTTGAATGAGGGCCACTGAGAGGCAAAAGTGGATGGAAAGGCGTTCCGTTATAAAAGCCGAAGCATCTTCAAATTCCCAGTTATCATTTGAAATAAACTTCCTGTTGGGTAGGAGCCTGCAAGCAAGCTCCCTCTGAGCTACACCGGCCACATCTCCACTCCCTCCATTAACACCTTACAGGCCCACACCAACATTACCAAAACAGATAATAACTAAGTAACGGCTTTGTTAAAATATTACCAGGTGCCATTAGTGTTTTTTCAACCCCAGGATTCCGTCTGTGATGCATTTAGAATGATTTTAGTTTTTGCAGCAAATATTCAGGGTACCCCAAGTGTCCCTGGCTTGTATCAGGAAATAAAGATGGGGACACACACATGATGAAATGACACCAACATCACCTATTCTACCCCACACCCCACACATGCTTCTTGTGCTGCTATTTAGTGTTCATTTCCAGGAGGCCCAGTAGGGCAGGCACAGACTTGGTGAGACTTTGCCAACAGAACTTTATAACCTGTTTCTCTGACTCCTCCACTTGGGCATCTACACCTTGGCCCAACTCGGTGACTTTGAGTTTTCCTAGGAACCATCTACAAGCCCAAGTTTTGAAACCCGTTGCTCTCCGGCCCCACAGAGTACCCTCTTCCGCCTCTGGAGTCCTCTCACAACCCCGCCCCCTGTCCTTTCACGGTGGCCAGACTCAGGAAAGCCTTGTCCGGAAGCCTCCGTTCCATTTAATGACCCAGGTTGTGCTCTGAGCTCTGAGTCCCAGGTCCACGGTACATTGGCATTTCCCTGCTCATTCCTGACTGGGCATGACTGTGACCAATCCCTGGCCAATTAACTGCACTTGCTCGATGCTTTAAGGGTCAGTGAGGCTGTCATTCATCCCCCTCACCTGTCTGTGACTTCCAGCTGATGGGGATCAGAGAAAAAAACAAAACAAAACATGGGCAGAGAAGCCAGGAGCTCCTGGGGAGACATATGGCTTCCCGAGCTTACAGAGCACAGAGGGTGCCTGTGACTGGGAGAGGCCCTCTGGGCTGACCCCTCCCATAGCATAGAGGTTCGGTGGCACCATCTCTGTCTGAGACACAAGACAAGCTGTGGGTTTTCCAAGGACCATGTCTAACACTGATGTTGGAGGCAGACATTCACAAAGCGCCCCTGGGGATGTCCAAGCCTAGTGTTTCCCCGACACCAGCTTAAGCTAATGAATGTGGAGGTGGCTGCATGCACCAACTTCCATCCTATTACGCTCACGATCAGTTGTGAAGAAAAGGTGATTAATAAGAGCCAAGACGACACAGCACGCCGTTCCTGAGAGTAACTAATGATACACAGCAAAGCCGCTCTGTGGAAGAAAATTGGGCCAATCAACCTTTGATTTGGGTCCTTTTTGAAAATGACACAGCCACTCCCTGTTCACAGGTCAATCCCGATGGAGATGCATCTATCCATACACAAGTGCTCGTGATGGGATGTACCTTTTTAATCTCGTTTTTATTATTTTTAAAGCCATTGTCTCAGTATCAGGCCAGGAGGTCACAGCAGCACTCAGCTTCTGGCCTCCACGCTGGGATTCCAGGCAGGAGGGATCTGCAGGCTGGGCTGAATCTCTCTGAAACTTGCGATCCTGCAGAGACCAGCAGTGGAGGCTTTCCGGAGCTGTGGACCAGTGCTGCTTCCGGCCAAAGCCCTTCCACCAACGCAGCAGCCAGAGTGAGCTCCCAGCCAGGAGGCGCCAGTAACACAGCAGAGTGAAGGCCTCTGCCAGCCACGATGCTCCATCCACAGATCTGTGGCTCGGAGAAAACACCCCGGTAGCACACGCTCTCGCCAACGTGGGGGCTGGGGAAGGTACTGCGCATCAGATGCGAGACAGCACTTGGTGTGCAGTATAAAGGGGAGATGCCCAGCTCCATGGCCCTCTGCAGACAGTCCCTTTCTGTCCTCAACTCCATGGCCCTCTGCAGACAGTCCCTTTCTGTCCTCAACTCCATGGCCCTTTGCAGACAGTCCCTTTCTGTCCTCAACTCCATGGCCCTTTGCAGACAGTCCCTTTCTGTCCTCAACTCCATGGCCCTTTGCAGACAGTCCCTTTCTGTCCTCAACTCTGTGGTCCTTTGCAGACAGTCAGTCCCTTTCTGTCCTCAACGTTGTTCAACACTGTTTTCACCTTCTTTATTTCCAAGTCACCACTGACCCTGAACCTCACATATCATAAAGTGAGGACTTTATAATAACTGTGTTCTAGAATTATTTTTGCTTGCTTTTTCAACTATAGGTAACAAGCTTCTATATGGCGCAGGAGAGCAGAGTTAGCAGACTGTCCCTCTGCTCACAAGGAAACTCGAGAGCAGCTGAGGACCAGCTCATGACTTCCCTGGGAAACACAAAGCCACCACGAGGCCACAGCGAAGCCCGAGTGTGGGTTAAGCCCACCCCACTATCATTTATCAAGTTGAGTTACTTGGCCTTTTAGATTTAATAAGGTTTGTTCTTGTTCATTAATCTCTTGAAGTCAGTGCAGAAGATCATCTGGGGAAGAGGACATGGCAGTACGTGGGCACCTTGGGCACCTCAGCGGCACTGCTGCCAGGAGACAAGGTCCCAGGAACTGGGGCAGACTGGGAAGAGCTGGAGGAGGGGGTGGGTCCGGTCAGGGCCCAAGTCACCATAGGTTGCTCCTCAGGGTTAGCCCTTGCCCTTCTCCAAATGTGTGCCTAAGTTCCAGGGTGAGCGGACAGTAACAGGATGCAGGGTAGACCATTTTTACCCCTCCTGACCCCCGCCCCGTAACTGTGGTTCCTTAGACAAAGAGGGAGCCTACAGCACTGTGCTCTCCTTACACCGAGGTGAGCAGGGAAGGAAGGGACAGGCAAGCACACAGTCAGTCTTGGAGCATGGTGGGGGCCGGGCAGCCTCAGGACGGAAAATAGCACCACAGGAGAGCCATGGCCTACCAACCATGGCATACCCAGCAAGGGTCTCATCTTGATATCTCATCTCACCCTTACAAAAGCCGATGGGGGCAGCGGTGACCAAAGGGGAGAATGACCAGGACCGAGCACGACCTGCCATGCTCCACGGCAGCAAAGCTGGAGCTCAGTCTGGGCTGGCAGTGGCCGTGCCCCCGTGCATGCAGCCTTGAGACATGCAACATCAAGACAGGTTATAGAAGTCAGATCAGCAAGTGTTTGGGGTGAGCCACGTGCCCACACCTGCAGACCTGTCAGGTTATCTGAAAGGAGGAAAGACGTGGTGACGTGGTCACTCATACCTGTAATCCAAGATCTTAGAAGGCAGAAGAATCACCCAGAGTTCAAAGGTCAGTCTGGGCTACAGATGAAACCCTGTATCAAAAATAAACAAACCCAAAGCAATCTGGATTTGAGGTACGGGAGGGAAGGCACCCAGGACTACTGATTAGGGCCACACAGGGCCACGTGCCCT